CGTGCTAGGTAGGTGACAAGGAATATTTCCATTCACTCTGAAGAGCACTATCCTCATTGATTAGCGAATCACGTGAGTGAATAAATGGATCTATAGCAAAATTCATCACTGAATCTTTTTTCACAGCACTGTTGCCGACCTACTGAGCCTATGGGAAAGCTCGGAGGGAAAAAATAGATAGACTTAGGTCAGAGCCGGGCCAACAACCACTCGACTGTCTGTCTGGCCAGTCTGACCCATTTTCAATTCTTCGACCTACCACTCAAAGATGAGTCAAAAGGCCCCACAATATTCGTTGGCTTTACCGCATTTAATTATACAATTCTCAGGTTATTTATTTGGTAACTTCATCCTATTTGCAACAGATTTATGGGTATTTTCTTTTGTCGTTCTTTTCCTAACTACTATATTGGATAAAAGCGACTGCTTTTTTGCAGGACAAACGAAATGATCGGAATAAAATGTAACTTGAACGTGCGCTGATCTAAAAAAGTATAGAAATAATAATAACCGATATTGTACAAATATGACTGTACTTGGCATGACATAAGAAATCACAGCGATAAAATAATACGAAGCTAAGTCAGTCAGGCAAAAAGTGTTCAACTAATAAATATTTACCGTTAGAATTGTGGAAAAATCCATGATAGTTAGGTGGTTTTTATTATTCCAGACATTCAAACTGCGGTCTTGGGCAAAGAAAGTTAGACGATTTTAGGGAATCCATCTCAGCTGTGTAGCCTGTTGAAACAAAAATCACTAGCTGAATATCTACTTTCGTTAAAAGTATACGCTATTGACAAAAATCTCACGTTCAGTCAAAGAACTATTAAAGACCGAAGAAATGTATTTTGTCGGTTGCCTGAGGGTTGATATAAATTGATGAGTTGGGTGTAAATTGCAACTACAGAGATACACACAGCTGAACCTTGGAAATCCCTATGCTATATGATGTGAAGCAAAATTGCATCCTGCTCACGGCTCTCCCTAGAGATTTGAGACAAGTGCATTCTTGGAAATTATTACAGCACTTTAAAATAACTTCCTTCGTCTTTGACGTGAGGTTGAACTATGGGAGTCTGAGGCTGATTTTGTTTGGCAGAGAATGAAATTTTTTAACGAATTTCCCAATAACGTACAAAATGCAATATATATGTAATAAAATAAGTTGTATTATATATTGTACAAATTTGGCATGGATAGTATCCTAGACGCACGTAAAAATACGCCTGTCGAGCTGCTGGAAGGACATCAACAACAGGGAATTTGAGCACAGATCTTACCAATACATGGATTCATTCTTTTAGAGAAGAGTCGGAGCGAACAATGCCCGTGAATGGAATGAACTTCTAGTGAGACTAGCAGCGTCTGGTGTGACTTGGTTGACCCAACCCAACAAGTCTACTACAGGTACGTGGCATCTAGACATTCCTAACGTGGAACGGCGTCATTTATAATTTGAAACATCTTCCATCATCCTTCTGCTTACAGAAGACTACGGTACCCTAGCGTATCTACGTGAACATTTATCACTCCATTGATAAAAAATTCGTTGAACGGAGATCCGCAACAGACTAGAGGGACTTCTGTCACTTGTAAAACATGCACTACTGATGGTTGCCCAGTAACAAGGAATTCAGTGTAAATTGGGGAAATGATCGAGTAATTGATGGTATCGAACGCAATCTGCTGTAGGTAGACTTGTCTCGTGTCAAAAGACTCGATTATTTTTGGACCAGAAAACCACTTTTCCCTTTGGCTGGCTCGTAAAAGTAGGACGAAGATGGCCGATCAGATCACACCATTTCTTTTGCCATGGCTTTTCTCACGAAATTTTTATCATTAATAATTTCGTTTATTTTTGCCAGTTGGACAGGTTTAACTCATAATACTAAGTTACTTTGATGGATAACTAGGTAGGAAGGCGCGTTCTAGTGGACCACTGCTTTACCACCCTACCAAATTTATATTTCTGACGGCTGTTAGTGCGTCTTGCTTGAGTTTGCTTTTTTTAGTAAAACTCAATTAGTCTAGGGTGAGAAAAAATGCAATTCTTATCTTGTTTCATCTTCAGACAGATGCTGATTGAGGAGGCAGGCAAGTGGAAATTAAGCCACTTGTACGGTTGGATTGGTCAAAAGTACGTTGTTAGCTTCGAGGTAGACAGCAAAATTCTTAAGCATACACATTACGCAAAAAAACATAGAGAGTGTATCATCCTCGCAGTCTCATAGTGTGATGTTACGGTGGGAGCACGGAGAATTTATGTACGCTACATAGTGTGGTATTATTTGGGGTGATAATCATGACTAGTGGTAATGGGAGTTCGCGCACGCAAGTTAGTTGGCAAAAATACTTTTGAACACAGGCGGCCTTTGCCGGATGGGACAACAGGGATGTCTCAGGATTGGCAGTCAAATATACGTGTTTCCAGCGCCCGAAAGTGACGCTGCTCAACCAGTGCACCACAATGCACTGGCAAAGAGAGTGTAGCCAGAGAGATCCTCTCAGACACAAACTGTGCTGTAAGTTTGCAGGTGCCCTCTTGTTCAAAGTTTTCCGGAAGTTTCAGAACCTCTGAGCAACACGGAAGTCCATAGTAAACAAGCAATAAACCGTCAAGTGTTTTGGCTCCGCTCTGATCTTATAACGGAAATGTGTCAATTGTGCGCTCGCTATGCGCAAAAATGGCAACCGTTTTGTCGCGTAGGTTGAAAAATGATGTCATACCTTAACCTGGAAGCTGCTGAAGTCTGAAATTCAAACGTCGGATTTCGGTAAACGGCAGTCCGTCAGAATTCAAAAGATATGTGTTTGACAAAAGGCTCATTTTTCAGCAACGATTTCCTATTTGGGTGGTCTAATTCATCTAGAAATTTCAGGACTAGCTTGAATCATTTTCTGGTGTTCCGAAATTGTCTGACGAATTTGTACACACAACGACAGGAGTTCATACTTTTCCAATTTTTTTTCCGTGAACACCAAACCTCATCACATGCTTTTGGCAATTACGACATTTCTGGTTCTTACGTGGACGCTCAAATCGGTATTTCCAGACATTGAATTCTGTTCAAGGTTTGCCAGGTCCACGCAGAACTCGGCCGCAATCCAAAGCACCAACTATTTAGGAGGTGATGTTAAGAGAAGAACGCCGTTAACCAGCCGTCCAAAATATTCCTATTTTAAACGGATCCAGTCGAGATAATGAAAATTAAAACCCGGTTCTCGCTCACCGTTTGTCTGATATCGACGGAAGAATGGGGCATTTTGCCTTCAGCTGTATACAAAATGCGACAGCTCAGTGAACTTGTAAACAATCAAACAAAACAAATCAAACAAATCAACAGTCATATTAAACAAGCAAACAAAACTTCTGGGACATTAAAGGGAGCAATAAAGGCCATGTGGTAATGATTTCACTCTTTCCTGAAAATGACTTTAAATGGTCANCACGTACGTTCTTAGAATTTCCAAGTGAGGGGTTCTAATGGCGCTCGCACCGCAGTTGCAGTGTGCCAGAAGGGGTCCGATAAAAGCCAGAAGTGAAAATAATCCGCCAATAAGACAAAACATCTCAGGTGAGGAAAGGGGTATTATGACCGCGAATTTAAAGACCAAGTGGCCGGTTGAACATGTGACCATGTGACGTGGACTTCGTGGTTGAAGGATAGTGGGAATCTCTCATTTGTGAATTGGAAATAGACTTGTCATTAGAAACACTCACAGATGAGCGATACAGGTTAAAAACACAGAGCAAAAATTTTCACGCACATATTGTCCTGGTGATTCAAAGACGCCAACGGCTGGCGATTCTCAAGGACAATGCAGACCTACGGTGATATTTGGCTTTTTCGTTGAACCTGGCTGCACTGGACGGCAAAACTCTCCATTGCAACTGAAAAGTGTTGTTACTGCGCACAGCACTTCGACATTTTGCAAGCGAGAATAGAGAGCGTCATAAAGACGAAGGAACACAATGTATTTATCAGAGGACAGGATCGACCATCTCGTATTTTGATGCACGATAGCCAAGCAGGACAAACATTATATGTCGATGGAGTGGGAATTTTATATAGTGCATGTATAAGCCATAGAACATGGTATCTAGAAGCATGGTGCTCGTCGACAAGTCTGACGCTCTTTGCGCACTCCTTTCAGCGAATAACTGCCAGCTAAGCGGAACCACTAGTAATGTCATCTGACCAAAGGACCGAGAAAGTGACTTGCTCTGAAGCCAGTAAATTCAGCTCGCCAGCCTGATATATTTGTTGCCTAACGCTCTGCTGGTTAAATCGGTGAGAGAAAATAGACCTCCTACTCTCTTATCGATCGATGTTGTGCATTGTCTCGGAACATAATTCTTTTACGCACTCTTAACATTCATCGTTTTAACGACCTACGAATGCGTAGTTGGTACAGAGGCGGTGTCTTCTTGTTAGCCATGTACGTGTATTTACTGACGAATATTTATTACTTAGCTTTCAAGTGGCGATTCCTTCAGGTGGGAATACAGTTACTATAGTGTTTGGTTTGCACGAGTGCCGGCTACGTTCATAGAATGTCCAGATGCCAACGAGTTAACGGTACAAACTAAAGAGTGCAAAGCCATAAATCCCCTCATCTGGATCGCTAGTGACAGCAACTCCAATGTGGAAATTCATAGACCCACTGCCCTATGCCCGTGCCATTTCATTAAGAAACCTGTGATAGAAAGAAAAACGCGATGGCCCACTGTTGCTCTACCACAAACAGCACGAACAGACAATACGGCTGTATACTAGCAAGCAAAACAGCTGCCAAGCGGAAAGTTACTTCACAACTGCACTGAGGATTACGCGTCATGTAAACAGATATAATGATCTATGAGAAGGTCTCAAGCCACACGTGATTTTACTTGACCTGTGTAATTCATCGCTAAAGTAGATGTCTATGTTTTATAAACTCTATAATTCCAATTGGAAAGTTTGCTCCCGGTTTTAATTTTTAATTGGGCGACTTACTATCAAACATATTGAGAGTTGTCCCAAATGATGGTAGTGTCTTGTCATCGAGGCTTCTGTATGCGCCTGTCGGAAGCAGATTTTAATGTCAACCAAAATAAGTGGCGTTCAACACTTTACTGGGTTATCTCACCACGGAGTCAACTGGTGATAGACCTGTGTAGGCCACTCAGATAGATGAAGTGCAATATTTGCGTTTACTTCTTCTTTTATAAACCTTCTCACTCAAAAACGAAACAAAATGTGAAACTGCCTTAAAAACTGTAGTTGTATATAATGTGGAATGTAGATTCAGGAATGTACATACGTTGTAATTCCCAAGTTAAGCGAGGCGACTGTTAGGGCTCGCATCACTCGCAGAATAATCGATGGTCACAGGATATGTTTAGTCTTTTGGATGCCTTATTCGCTAGTCTGAGTGAATATCTGAGTGACTAAGCTCGCGCAACAGGTGGCATCACAGCGTGAAAACGACAAATGAAGCCAGGGTGTATGTTGTGGCGTATGCACCACTACGAATGGCCGGCTGAATCTATAACGGTAGTGGGTCCACCCGTTCGCTGAGAAACTCAGTGTTTGTGGTTCAAGTGTAGGTTAGAAGTAAGAGAAGGCAAGATGCCCAGTGGCATACGGAAATAATATTCATCTTAAATGACTGGTTTGAACATGGATAAATCTCTCCGTATTTGATAATGAAAAACGTGGTTTAGTGTACTTTCATAGAATTAATGGAAGGTAACGCCGGTTGTTGAGTTATTCGACTTTATTAGTTGCTGGTCAGGTGAAGAGGTGACAGAGGTGATTTACGACTGGGTTGGTAATGTTGCCAGCTCTAACTGCACCTATACAGGTTTTGAAGAACACTTCGTGACTAGGACGTGACTGGCTTTTTGAGGATCTCGGATTGAACCCCACGAAAGCCAAACTTTAGGAAACCCATACGTACAAAGTCTTCTAGTGCAACGTTCATTCGTGTAAATTAATTTGGCAAAAAAATGCAACTCACTCAACAACAATAAAAAAAGATAGATTTCACAACACAGTACATTGAGGATATTTCGCAGGTGATTAAAAGAATGTTACGCGGCGTAATGTAACAAGTGTATGCAAACCGACAAACAAATCTCGGATTGTACCGGCATAATCAGAGTGAATTGGAGACAAAATATACGAACTATGGACTATGGAAAACAATACACTGGACAAACAAGAAAACCACCAACAAGATATCACAAACAAAACTTAACGCTAACGAAAACAGCCGTGCCTTATATCAACTGGTACGATAAGTTGGCATTAGGAAAGCAACGTGCAGTGAACTGATAAGCGGAAAGGGTGGTTCTTTGATTAACTTGCAAAAGCTTGGATTGGAACTATGGCCTGAACACTTCGAAGACCAGCTGAGCTGGCCTTCTCCAAAAAAACCTCTGGAGACACTTTCAGAGGGGTTTGGTAAACAATCGGTGGATTTATTGCTGGGCAACTTTTCGCTTTTGACACAAAAGCTTCGTCAGGCCAAGTGAATAAGCAGGTAGGTTGATTGGGTTTTAAGGTAGTCAGGGAACCAATCCGTGAGATTCCTTATGACTAGTGACATGATCAGTGCTGGGTGTTCAGTCTGATGTCCCTGTCTGTTGATTAGTGAGGATGACTAGGCTTTACGATAGATCGGTTAGGGGGGTTCGTCTTTATGATGAACCCGGATTTTTTCGTCCCTGCTTCTTCTTCAGTCTAGGACACCTTACTGGAAAATTCCTCTTGGGGTTGTTCACAGATTTCGTTCACCTGTGTTGGTCCAAGGGTGCTGGGACAATTAGTTTGGGGATGGGGGTGGGGTGGTTAATTGGATCTAACGCTACTTGGATTTTTGTAATTTTAGACCCAGGCGATTTCGCTGATAACTGCACACCACCTTGTGTCATCTCGCCTGATCTAAGACCGCTCTCCACACGTTTGCAAGTTCCACCCCCTCTACTCTATTCACGCTGGGATGCTTGGTGATTTCCACCGCCTCGGCCACCAGTCGCTGCGGTGTGAATCGTAAACCCCGTCTCAGGATGTCCACATTTTCTAAATCTATCCTATGACCAGTGTCTAGAGCATGCCCTGCCATTGCTGAATCTTTGACTAACGCCTGATATTCCTCTGCGTTTCTCGGTGGTCTGTTAATGGAACGCTTATGCTCACCGATTCTGGTGTGCAATTCCCTGGCTGTCTGACCTATATAAACCTTCGTACAGTCGTTACATTTTATTTTGTATACACAGTTCCTAGTCCTATCAACCGGAAGGCGATCCTTCAAATGCACCAACACCGAGCGTAAAGTTTTCCCCTTCTGGAAAGCTACTCTAATGTTAGCCGTATTCAGTACCCTTCTAATGACTTCAGATGTCCCTGTTTTGTATGGAATGACCGCTGTTCCGATCCACTCCTTGTTGGGCCTTGGTGTTGGCACCAATACCCGTCTTAGTTGTCGCTTAATTAAACCCACTGGGTATCCGCCATCTTGAAGTCGCTTTTTTACCTCGAGCTGTGCTGCTCTTCGGTCGACCTCCTCTGTACACAGTGCTCTCACTCTCCTAAACATCGCTGAGGCTATGCTAGCATATACTGCTTTTGGATGTGCAGAGGAGTAGTCTAAGACCGCACCACTATCTGTTGATTTCCGGTATACAGTGGTTTTTAATTTCCCACCACTCTTGTGTGTCATGCAGTCAAGGAAAGCTAGTGTACCCGATGTGGACTCTAGCTCCATGCTAAACTTAATGTGAGGGTCCAATGTGTTCAGATGTTGAAAGAATTCGTTCACCTTATCCCGCTTTATTACAACGAACGTGTCATCTACGTAACGCCAGAACACCCTTGGTGGACACTCGAATCCGTTTAAAGCTTTCTGTTCGAAGTCTTCCATGTACATGTTGGCCAAAATCGGGGATATTGGTGATCCCATCGCTAAACCTTGTTCTTGAGAGTATATAATTGAGTCAAAAACAAATTGACTGAGGTTTAGGCATACCTTTATGCCTTCAACTATCTCGTCTACGGAGAGTTGCGTTCGTTCTTGCAGCGTTGTGTCTGCCAGTAAAAGTCTTCTCGCTACTTCCACAGCGTCCGCTTTAGGGACGTTGGTATACATCGAATTGACGTCAAAACTAGCCAGGACTTCGTCTGGCTCTATCTGAAACCCAGCTACTTTTTTGGCAAAGTCATACGAATCTTGGATGTGTGTCGGTGACTTGCCGGCAAGTGGTTTAAGGATACCTGCTAGATATCTGGCCAGCTCATGTGGTGGTGAACCTATGCCATCCACTATTGGTCTTATGGGGACACCTTCCTTGTGAATCTTCGGTAACCCGTACAGTCGTGGTTGGATTGCACTTTTTGGGTACAATCGATACCACTTGCCTTGCCCCAGATGGTTTATCACAGATCTTAGATACCTCCCAACTTCAACTTTACTCTTACTCATAATTGACGTGATCTTTCCGTTACTAATTTGTCGGTAGGGACCATCAGCTATGTGTTGTCTAACTTTATGAAGATAGTCACTCTTATTCATGACGACCGTGGCCTTACCTTTATCTGCCTTTGTAATTACTATGCTGTCTACATTTTTTAACGTGTTTAAGGCCCTTCGCTCAGCTGGTGCAATGTTTGGAACCCCTGGTTGCTGGGACTTCAGGACTGTGACCAACTGTACACGTAATTTTTCCGCTTCCATTGAAGGAAGCTTCTGGAATACAGACTCAACACTAGGGATGATCTCTTCTGCCCTTATAACGCCTTTACTTACTGCAAAATTCAATCCTTTCTCTAACAGACAACGTTCCTCTTCACTTAAGGGTCTATCTGATAAATTGACTACGCTACAATAGCTAGTGGATGACTTACTCTTCTCTGCTGTGTTACTAGAACCGCGAGTGGTAGAAAGCAATTTCTCGAACTTCCGTATTTGTCTGTCCTTGCATTGTTTACCTTGAGCTGATTTCACTTCCTTCGCTTTGGTATCTAGTAATTCGAATTCAGCAGGCGAGAGTGCGGACTGAAGATCATGGTTGAGACGACATGCGCGGTGGCGGATATCAGTTAAACGTTGGGTGGTTAAATGGATCCTCTGTTTGAGGAATGACTTGGCCGCTGAAGAAGCAATTCGAGCAGAAGCGGGGGACGCATCTGGTGGCTTAACAACCAGAGATTTGGGAATTATGTTGTGCTTCATGCATCTAATGTTGAAAATGCGATGGTTCTCCCAGTTTGCCTCCAATCTCGCCAACCGAACATATTCACTTGACAGCTTCCGAACACATGGTCCGTAGATGTTTTCAATCAATTGGAAAATGTTTGGGACCGATTGGGAAGTCATCGTTTCAGAGGGGTTTGGTAAACAATCGGTGGATTTATTGCTGGGCAACGTTTCGCTTTTGACACAAAAGCTTCGTCAGGCCAAGTGAGTAAGTAAGTAGGTTGATTGGGTTTTAAGGCAGTCAGGGAACCAATCCGTGAGATTCCTTATGACTAGTGACGTGATCAGTGCTGGGTGTTCAGTCTGATGTCCCTGTTTGTTGATTAGTGCGATGACTAAGCTTTACGATAGATCGGTTTGGGGGGGTTCGTCTTTATGATGAACCCGGATTTTTTCGTCCCTGCTTCTTCAGTCTAGGACACCTTAATGGAAAATTCCTCTTGGGGTCGTTCACAGATTTCGTTCACCTGTGTTCGTCCAAGGGTGCTGGGACAATTAGTTTGGGGATGGGGGTGGGGTGGTTAATTGGATCTAACGCTACTTGGATTTTTGTAATTTTAGACCCAGGCGATTTCGCTGATAACTGCACACCACCTTGTGTCATCTCGCCTGATCTAAGACCGCTCTCCACACGTTTGCAAGTTCCACCCCCTCTACTCTATTCACGCTGGGATGCTTGGTGATTTCCACCGCCTCGGCCACCAGTCGCTGCGGTGTGAATCGTAAACCCCGTCTCAGGATGTCCACATTTTCTAAATCTATCCTATGACCAGTGTCTAGAGCATGCCCTGCCATTGCTGAATCT